GCGCTTTCTCGCACTTTTCGTGACAACTGCGACTACCTAGATCATCCAAACAGCGGCGAACACAGACTGTTCTAGTAGGGGTGTCCATCGTGCTTCAATCCGGTGCACCTAATAGAAAAAAAAAATTACACTACGTGCCGGAAATTGAGCAGTGGCCCGGGACCCCCAATGCTCCACTAAGGTACGCCACTGCATCCAAACGAATATCCATAACCTTAAATCTCTCAACTTTTGGTGGTGTCTAAACATGCACCTGCTCTCTCACTCTTTGCTGGGTTTCCAGCCCGGACTCTGAAATGATATGTCCTAACGAATTTGCTTAACAATTAGTTAATATCAATATAGATTTCAAGTAGCACAAAGAAAGCAACAGTCAAGCAGTCAATCTTACAGGCACATAACAAACATAAGAACGCATCTCTCCTAAGCAGGCACTCTAGCATGCAACCCTGAGCAAATCCTTAGCCTAACTTCTAAAATGCATATCATACTATAACATATATAACATATCACATAAACATATTGACTAACTATGGAGCTCGGATGATTGGATTATTTGCATTCTCTTCTTCGAGGCATATGACATTTTTCTTCACTTATATTTTCAAAACTTGTGTCATTACTTAGTTTAGTTTATAAAAACAATTTTGAATTAAAAATGAGTAGTGGTTTGATTCTCAACACACAAGGAAGTATGTTTTGTTCTCTCAAACCAAAGCTTTGATACCAACTAGTAACATCCCAAAAACCTACTATAAATTTTTTGAAATCGGAGTGTAAAATTTCTAAAAAGGGGTTTCATCCATAACATAATTCAATATAGTATCTTTGTCTCACCACAAAATCATCATCAAAACCGGAAGCTAAATTCTTGTTTTGAAATCAAATTCATAAAGGATAAACATATAGTAGATGTCATGCACCCGAGAATGTCCAAAAATCCTAATTATGACAACTCCTTGCCCTTCGAACCTGAAGTACATGCAACTAAAAACATAAAGTAGCATATGTAAGCCTAAGGATTAGTGAGTAAACATAATACTTACCTATTATACAGATCACGTGCAATACATAACTTAACACATAACAACAAGCAATGATTAACATATTAGATACATTCGATCGCATAACATATGTTAGCATACTTAACACCAGTACAAATATATTCCCTTCGAGAGACTTTTCATGGTCTAACATACAAATATCACATATTCCACATAACAAGTAAGTTCATGAGAACTCACCTCACTAGAAGACAAGATGAAATCCACAAACTCAAGCTAGAAGTAGCAAGTCTTCCTTAAAACTACACAATAAATAACCATAATTTAATAATTAAGGCAAAACATTTCTCTACACTTCCTTATCGTGTCTAGGTCCAATAAAAGCTATTCTATGGGCAAAAGACCATTTTACCCTTTCAAGACCCAAACCCAACACATTTTTGCAAAAGTCACACTTGGTCAAAAAGTCAACTATCCACGTCATCTCGCCGCGGCCAACATAGGGTCGCGGCGCTATCACTAGGCGAAAAAATTGTTGCGATCTGTTTGAAAATTGTGGTGCTACTAAAATTCAAATCACGGCACGATCATGACAGATCATCTAACTTTCAACAAGGTCTTAATCCTTTAAGACTAAGCTCTAATTCTCCAAAACTCATCCAAATATGGTGTTAATGGATAAAGTTTCCAACTGTACCCATTTGCATGTACTTAACACCATCATTTCAAGTCTAGGTCAGAAATGGGGCTAAAAGCTCTTAAACTCATGCATGGACCAAATGACAAGATGGAATCCTCATCTTCTTACCACTATGGGTCCATAAGTCATAAAAATGCAACCTTTAAGACTAGAGTTCTTCAAACTACCATTAAATAACAACCAAGAGACCAAAACATGACTAAAACCAAAGATCTATACCAAATAACTCATAAAGCTTCAAGCTTGAATACTTACAATAGTCCAGAAGGTGCTCAAAGGGTTGGATTTGATTTGCTTCTTGCTTCCTTGCTTCACAAATGCACTCCCTTCTCCTTCGAAGTACATAAACAAGCAAAAGAGGCTAAAAACTTGAAAAGAAACAGTAGAGGAACAATATGGAGGCTAGGTTTTGCTCCTAAGGGGCTCTTTGATGTGATGGGGGCTGCAAATGACCTAATTCTTGGAGATAATGCATTTGAATACATGATAAAACCCTAATTTCATGGGCTTGGGTTGTACAGACTTCGTGTCGTGACAACTCTCCTGACACGCGGTGAAAGTCCTGATCCAACAAAGCCAAAAACTAACTTGATCGCAAACTACTTTTCAGTCTAAAACTAAACCTCTAGTCCAAAGTCTTATGCCCTTAGCCCAAAAACTTCATTCCTTTAAGGTCCAATATTCATCCCTTAAGACTCGAGACCTTCTCATGATTAAATTAAAGTTCGATTTTCCAAATAAAGAAACATCCCGAAACCGAATGTTACACCAACACTGGGACATATTGTTACGTCGCAGGACCAAAATCACAAGCAAACTAGCTCAAAATGATCATCAATCCAAAAAAGTTGTAGTTTGGACCAAATCTTGGAAAAAATACATACAATATGGGCCATTTTTGCAGTTTTATCAAAATAAATATATGATTCGAGAATATCTAGGTCAAAAATTTCGAACTTATTCTTCGTGTTATTTTGTTGAGTATTGAATTTGTTTATGATTTATGAACTTGCATGTTAGATATGATGATATAATAAAGAAAAGAAATATGAAAAAAAAACTCATCAAAAATCAAGATTTTGGGGGAAAATGTGAAAGAAAAAAGATATAGAAAGAACATTTGGAAATTTTCAAAAGTTATTAGAAAATCATTTTCTAACATTAACATGGTCGCAAAGAAAATGAGAAAAAACCGTTGTTTCCTTCAAGATGTTCTAAAAAGTTGGTCAAGAAACAAATACCTTTAAAATAATATATATTTTTATATGCAATATTTTCCCAATAAAAAAGTAAACAATCGTATTAATATAATGGATGGGTTTGTGATCGTTATTACTGTTGCGAAGCTTAAGAAACGATGATCGCCATTTATTAAAAAAAAGTGACTAAGGTGTTTAAATATGACCATAAATGTTTTACTTAAAGTTGATTGGTATTCAAAATGGTGTACTTTTCAAAGTTAAAAAATGACGAGGATATATATAAGCGTCGTTCCATTAAAAAGTTATAAAGATACATATAAGGATCATGTATCAAGCGAGAGTACGACAAAACTATTCAATATATATGAGCCTTAAAAGGTGATGTAACAAGTAACTTTTGCATAATGTGAAAGTACTCATAGATAAAGAAAGTATTTATTATAACATATTTAGTGAACATATCATGCACCCACTAAGTATTAACTTACAATAGTATGCATACACATTTAATGTTCGAATTTCGAATAAAGGCATAACATGTTATAAGGGTAAAGAAAAAGTATGAGAAGATTGAGTTTATATAAGTTGTGACATAATATTTTTATGAATCACAAAATCAAGGTTCTAAAATGATGATAGGACAAGAATCACTTGGAATATTTGTTGTGTTTAAATCCTATTATGGATTCAATACACCTTGAGCACCCACTATTGAGACAAATAGATTAGAATAAAACTTATATTCAAAACTAATGTTGTATCAATTCTAAAATAATTTTAAGTAAAACTTATCATATTTATTTTGAGAAAAAACAATAACAAGAAAAATAATTTCAAATTAAAATGTGAAGTGTCATAGTGGAGAATCGCCAAATTTCCAGTTTCTCTTTTAGTTAAGGTTAACCTAGATACATTTGAATTCAACTTTCTTAAAAAATAAGAGAAAAAATTGCATAAAGTGTAAAAAGACCAATGTTCAGCCAAATTGTTTTGGTAAACTTGCTTTTAGCCTATTTAATACGAAATTAAGTGTAAATATCATGATTGTTAAGATCGGAATCCTACATAGGATCGTTTTGGGTTTGCAAGATCGGGATCGGGATCTTAAGATCCTACAAAATGAAACATAATTTTAATACATGAAAAATATTTTAAACATTCAACTTTTTGTTCAAAAGTTATAAAAACTTCAAAATATTAGTCATAAGTCACAACATAAAATGATAAACTGTAACTTGGTAAACGGGTAAAAGACATAAAGTGGTAAAATGATTTCATTTGCAAAAAAGAATAATAATAATAATAATAAAATCAAGGGAAAGTAGGATTGGATCGGATCCCGATCCTACGATCCTACCTACGATCTTACGATCCTACCTGCGATCTTACTCTAAATACGATCCGTTTACGATCCGGATCGTTTTTCATACCTAGGATCGTAGGATCGTAGGATCCTACGATCAGGATTGCGATTTTGACAACCATGGTAAATATGAAAAGGGTTAGTTAAATTCTTAATTTAAACAAGAATTAAAGTTATCACTGCAATCAACTTTTGTAAGAAGAATATGTTGTTACCAAAATATAACAGAAATGCACGAAAGAACAGAAAAATATCTTCGTGTTGGTAAGACATATTTTAAATACATTGTCTTTAAAACAAATTGGTCTGCAATTGAGATTGTTGTTGAGTGTCTTTAAAACAAATTTGTCAGCAACCGGATTTTTGTTTCTTAGGATACAATTTGAAGCGATTTTTTAAGATCACCTGAACCTATACTAAGTCGGAGTTTACATAGATTACAACAAAAAAAAAATAGGCTTAGAAACAATTTCATCCCCTTGCGGTGAAAAAAAGTCGGTGTTGTAAGTTTTATAAAGCTTAGAAACTTTGTTACTTATAAACGTACTTTTTTTTCCTCTTCTCCCACCTATGTTAAATCCGTTTTCGATATACCAAAACGAATATATCACCTCGAAGAACATAAATATATAGCCGTTTATTCATTTTAATTATGTTTTAGGGTTCGAATTCTGTGTTCAAAAATAGAAAACTCATTTTTTTGAAATTGGTTAAATCCAACTTTCCAGTATATGTCATTACATAATCAAAATAAAGGTAATACTTCTTCCGCGATGATGTAAACCCTAAAGCGGCTTCGAGAGCTCTCGAAGTTCCTTAGTAAGTGAGAAATGAGCAAAATTACATTGACCAACTCCTTTGTTGATAATATACCCTAGCCTTTCAGCTTCAATCCAACTTTTAGTTCTCCCGATCGCCAAATGTAAATGCACGACTATAAATGATAAACGATCATTAACGAACATTTACTGACGTAAACAAGTATAGGATCACATTGTTCGTTTTTGTTCATTTAACTAAAAGAACGAAAAATCATGTTTGCAACTGATCATTTATAGTCTTAATAGAGACAACGTTTTTGCAATTCGTAATTTGCTACTGATTAACTGTAAATTTCATGTAATATTGATAAAAATATAGTTAATTTGTTAAATATCATATAATCTTATTTTGTGGTTATCCGTTAATTCAATGATTCGGAACCAATTTGGCATTCATGATAAACCCGTATTTAATATTAACAAAAGATCAATAAATTTCAACATTGCAATTAAAGAAAGATAAAGAAAGTAAGACACCTCACATATAAAACGGTCGAAGAATATAGTTGCTTTTGGAAAATTTCATTCACCATCGTCTCTACATTATAGAAAAGGGTCAAAGATTTTTGCATAGTCAAACAATGGTGTACTGCAGATTCCATAGTCAAACAATGGCTCTATGGCACTCTAACCCAACCTCTTATTCAATCCATCTTAATTCCTGATGCCACTGATGTACAACTTTGGAAGGCCATTGAAGACTTGTTTCGTGACAACAAAGAGGCCAATGCAATTGAACTCGAAAATCAACTCCGCAATATTGTTATTGGCGACTCCACAGTGATGGAATACTACACCCGAATCAAGACAATTTCTGACCTTCTAGCCAACATCGGTTCAAAGGTACCTGAACGAACCCTAGTCACATATGCACTCAACGACTTATCCTCCAAGTTCGATCACATTGCCACCACCATTCGCCACAAAACCCCTTTTCCCTACCCTTCTCGAGATGCGGTCCATGCTTACAATTGAAGAACAAACCTTACTAAATCAACAAAATCGTCTTCCCCAAGCATCACATTCCGACTCATCTTCTTCTCACCATGTGCCGAATGCTAATCATCAATTGCCATCAACAAATTCCGAGAATCATCGAGGCACTCCTCGTGGTGGCGGTCGGAATAGGAGCGGCGGCGGCAGAAATCGAACCGGTGGCAGAGGCCGAGGTAGCCATCGCAACAATGGAGGTGGCTCCAATTTTTTTGTCGACACCTTCGTCGTCTCCCAGCAGTCGCTGGGTTTTTTATCCCATCCGCTCCAACTGCAACTTGGCTGCTTCCTTCACCAAACCAGGCTCATTGGCCCAATTCCTACCCAACCCATCAGCGACAGCAACAACCTTGGCCCACTCAGCAGCCAAGTCAACAAGCCTTTTATGCTGGAAGTCAACCAACTCAGCCTCTTAATTGGCAGCAGGCCCAATTTTTTGCAGATCAGCCCACTTCGCTCCCGCAAGCATTTAGTACCATGAACCTTCAAGATCTCGGTACTACTGATTGGTACATGGACACTGGGGCGACTGCTCATCTTCACCCCGATTCAGGTATACTAAATTCCATTAAAAATAACTGTAATAATTTTTCAGTCTTAGTTGGTGATGGATCGCGCATTCCGGTTACTCATGTTGGTAACTCTTTCCTCTCTCAACATCCTTTTCGCCCTCTATGTCTAAACAATGTTCTCATTACCCCCCCCCCCCACATTATTAAAAATCTCATTTTTGTTCGTCAACTCACTCGTGACAATAAATGTTCTATTGAATTTGACGAATTTGGTTTTTCTGTGAAGGACTATCTCACCAAACAAACTCTCATCCGATGTGATATCACGGGCGATCTATATCCTTTCACCAAACAACTCCTGCAAGTGCTTGTGAGTGTTAGTTCTTCCACGTGGGATCAACGACTTGGTCATCCCGGCTCTCAAGTCTTCAAGCATTTATTATCTAATAATTTTATTTCGTGTAATAAAAAAGATCCTAGTATCGTGTGTCATGCTTGTCAACTTGGCAAGCATGTTCGTTTGTCGTTTACCTTGTCTAAAACTAATGTTACTTTTCCCTTTCATGTAATTCATTCCGATGTTTGAACATCTCCAATAACAAGTCATAGTGGAATCAGATATTATGTCATTTTTCTTGATCAATATTTTCATTTTGTGTGGGTTTATCCTTTGCGACATAAATCTGATGTTTTTTCTAAATTTCTTCATTTTCGCCCATATGTTATAAACCAATTCAAAACTGATATCCAAACCTTTCAATGTGACAATGGAAAAGAGTTTGATAATACTCAATTCTATCAACTTTGTGACTCTAATGGTATTCATATGCGTTTTTCTTGCCCATACACGTCTCAACAAAATGGAAAATCTGAACGCATGCTTCGCACCCTAAATAACACTATTCGAACTTTACTCTTTCAAGCTCACCTTCCACCCACCTATTGGGTTGAAGCTCTTCATATGGCAGCCCACATTCTAAATATCCTTCCTTCAACCACTCTAAATCACGATTCACCCTTTCACAAACTCTTTCATAAACACCTGTCTTATTCCCATCTTCGTGTCTTTGGTTGTCTTTGTTACCCTCACCTAAACAAAACTCACAAACTTCAACCTCACTCCGTTCCATGCATTTTTCTTGGATATCCTACCCATCACAAGGGATATCGGTGCCTCAATCTTCATACCAAACAAATTATCATCTCTCGTCATGTCATCTTTGACGAATCCATTTTTCTTTTCGGGTCTCTCACACCCGAAAAATCTCCTGACTACGATTTTCTTAATATTGAAGATCAATGCAATATCTTCAATAGTCCTACCTTCCCATCTCATCCTACTTCTCAATCATCCACTATCGATGCCTCTACCCACCCAAACAATTACAACAATGTCGGCAACTCCGCCACCTCCACTGCCAGCCCTTCCGATAACGTTGTTGTCTCCAACAGCCTCCCTCATTCCTCTTCGACATCAAATCCACCCCCTATTGCTCCCACTTCATCTCGCACTTATTGTATGGAAACTCGTGCTCGTCATGCCATTTTTAAACCCGTTGATAAATTAAATCTTCATACAGACTCCTCTTCTTCTCCTCTTCCTAAAAACTATTCCCAAGCGTTTCGCGATCCCAACTAGTATAATGCTATGACTGACGAATTTTAATGCACTTATTTCTAATGAGAATTGGGTACTTGTGCCTCGGCCCCCAGATGTGAATATTGTTAATTGTATCTGGCTGTTTAAAAAGAAACATAATGCAGATGGATCGTTAGCTTGGTATAAGGCTCGCCTTGTTGCCAATGGTCGCAGTCAGCGACCCGATATTGATTGTGATGAGGCGTTCAGTCCGGTTGTCAAACCAGCTACTATCCGAACTGTTCTCAGCTTGGCTGTTTCACACCACTGGCCGGTTCATCAGTTGGATGTGAAAAAGCTTTCCTTCATGGTCGTCTTGAGGAGACTGTCTACATGCATCAGCCCTCTGGTTTTTGTGATCGATCCTTTCCTGATCATGTTTGCTTACTTCAAAAGTCCTTGTATGGACTCAAGCAGGCACCTCGGGCGTGGTATCATCGGTTTGCTCAGTTTATTACCGGGTTCGGGTTCACTAACAGCAAGTCAGACTCATCTTTGTTTATCTATCGCCAGGGTAACTAGATTGCTTATTTATTGCTATATGTTGATGATATAGTTCTGACTGCCTCATCTCCCAACCTCCTTCAGCAGGTCATCACCACTCTTCGTTCAGAATTCGCCATGTCTGACCTTGGCACTCTGAACTATTTTCTAGGCATTACCGTTACTCGAGACACCCACAACATGTTCTTATCTCAGCAAAAATATGCCACTGAAATTCTTGAGCGTGCTAAGATGCTAAATTGCAAACCAGCTCAAACCCCAGCTGATACCTCAGCCAAGTTTGATAGGACAGGACTACCGGTCTCTGACCCTACGCTCTATAGGAGCCTTGCTGGGGGTCTTCAACATCTCACATTTACGAGACCTGATATCACTTATGTTGTTCAACAAGTTTGTCTCTACATGCATGATCCTCGAGAGCCTCATTTCACCGCTCTCAAGCGTATTTTGAGATATATCCGTGGTACTCTTGATCATGGTCTCCAACTATATGCCTCTCCATCCTGTGGTCTCATAGCATATTCTGATGCCGATTGGGCTGGTTGTCCATCTACTCGTCGCTCCACATCTGGTTATTGTGTTTTTATGGGTCAGAATCTCCTCTCGTGGTCTTCAAAGAGACAGGGTACTATTTCTAGGTCCAGTGCTGAGGCTGAGTATCGAGGCGTTGCAAATGCAGTTGCCGAGACATGTTGGTTACACAATTTACTTCGTGAGCTTCACTATCCTCCTCTTTCTGCTACTTTGATATATTGTGACAACGTCAGTGCCGTTATTTGTCCATCAATCCTGTTCAGCATCAACGCACAAAACACATTGAGATTGATATTCATTTTGTGTGTGACAAAGTTGTTATGGGTCAGATTCGTGTTCTACACGTCCCATCCTCATCTCAGTATGCTGACATCTTCACCAAAGGGCTTCCCTCGACTTTGTTTCTTGACTTTAGATCCAGTCTGAACGTTCGATCTCGATTTCCCGTTTCGACTGCGGGGGGATGTTAGCCGTATATAATTTCTTGTATATGTTATTTTATATTGTAGTCTTTTAGTATGTGGCCATGTATAGTTTGCCCACATTCTTAGCCCTTTGATTATTTGTATTATAAATATTTGGTGGAATGCAATATTTGTGATATAGGAAAATTATTTGTCAACACTTTTCATTAATATGTCCTAATCTCCTATTATTTATGTGAAGTTTGAGGTAAATTTTATGCAAATGTCGGTTGGATGTTGTAAAACGAGTAGGAAACACCGAAACAATATTTCCGTATATGGGTGGTTGATAAATTGAACCAGTTTACCTTCGGTAATAGAATTTCTTATTGGGCTTATTAATTCAAAATCCACTCAAATGTTTCAAATAGTTGAGGGACTACAGTCCTTAAATTTTGCTCCTAAAATTTAACGGAATGTTAAATATTATATTACATGTCATTTTTTGTGAAGGAAAATCCAAATGATGGATCTTTTTTGTTCAGTTTCTTTGAAGTTTGAACCATTGCAATTTTTAGGAAATTTCACATTTTCTTCATATTAACATTGAAATATGCAGAAAAACCTTGTTCACGAAAATAACATTTTCGATTGTTGCCTATATCTCTTAAAGCTCGACGAGGTCATGGGAAGAGTTAGCCTATATGCATCAAAGACGTATTCGAGGCTAATATTCTTTAAGGATATTGATTTCATCACGCTCTTGTTTTAATGTTTTTCTTTCGTTTCTGTTTTTTGTACACCAGTTCTAACATTAATGTTATACTTTACATAGAATGTCAATCATTGAGTGCCGAATCAATTTACCTCCAATATTGAATTTATCTATATATATATAGATATATATATATATATATATATATATATATATCTATATATATATATATTATATATATATATATATATATATATATATATATATTATAGTGAGGTTCAATAGAGAACCATAATTAACCAATGAACCAATCTTTTTTTTCAACTTTTAGAACTTATTTTTTATCAAAAAAAAAGTAAAAATAAAGAAATTCATAACTTTTTATCCTTTTTCCAATGATATCAAATTCGATTTTTTTTACGTCAAATTCACAATGTGAATCCGGATTCACACGGTGAATCCGAAAAATATTTTTCACATTCACAATGTTAATATATGAATTTAGATATTTTTAGATTTTTTTTCGATAAGAATAAACTCTAGAAATTGAAAAAAGATTTGGTTCTTTGAAGAACCAATAATTTGGTTACTATTGAACTTTCCATATATATATATATATATATATATTATATATATATATTATATATTATATATATATATATATATATAAAATG